TCCTTGCTTTGCAGCTTCAAATCCCACTATAGGACGTTGAGACCGGATCTTCGAATGAGACCATATAAACTGACGTCCTGTGTTGCAGTAGGTGTTTGCACAAAAGATCCCCACTACTTATTGGCCGTTAGTGCTGAGTAAAGGAAAAAAAATGTGCAGCTCTCAACCGACAAGTTGTGGCGTCTCCATATGAGTAAAAACTCTCGAGAAGGACGTTAAACAACATACAAATAAGCAAACAAAGATCAAGAAATTGCACTGTTATCATTTGTCGGTCGCACGGCGCAGTGGTAAGAGAATGTGCTCTAGAGTCGCGGAATAAAGGCGTTGATCCTTACATCGCGGGTTCGAATCCCACTTTGGGACGTGTAGAGGTGTCTTTCAGATGACACCGTTTAAATAGAGGTCCCTTGTCGGCATGGTATTGTAGTTTTTATACACAAATGTCCCCCTTGTATATTATGATAATTCATACACACAATTCCCCCAATGCATTGATGTAATTAAGTTGTTTGTTTGTTTGGTTCGGGTGTTTTCTTTTGCCAAGATTTATTCAGAAATGTTTTCTTTTGTTTTGCTAAATATTACACAGATCTTCTCCCTACTGAATCATGAATGTCCTGATAGCTTTCTAATATTATTTATCTCAAGTTTTTAAATGGTATGCTCGACATAATAATATAAAAGTTCTATTACAGTGTTTTATGACGAGAAACGTGAATGTTGAGGAAATATCCACACCAGATTTTGTAAGATGTAGAATACGATTTGGTACGATGTTTGCATTTTAACTTTGTGGTCTTGGATAAATATCTTAGAAAAGGACAGTCTTATGTGGTTGCATATTATACTAAGTATCTCATATGAAAATTATTAGGATTCATTTTCTGAAATCGTAACGTTTCTGAGAGATATTAATGCGACAAATAAAGAAAGTTGAATTTCTGAAAATCAGGCACATTTGTTCAAAATACATTTATCTGATTATTTGCATACAGGTCCATTTTTGTCAAATTATGTTTGTTCAGTCTATTTAAAAGGAGTATTATATGAAATTTCAATTAAGATTTTTAATCTTTTTTAAATAACACACGATCCCTCATATACTGATTTTATGAAAACAACCACCATTTGTCTTGATTTTGCATAATTTAAGAGATAGACATGAACAATCTTTTTTCTTTCGATCGACGATTTGGATGTATGAGTTTCATAATCATGTTGTACGCTGAGACATACGCAAAGACTTCCAAAAGTCCCTATACAAGGAAAGTAAAAAATGCCACTGAAGGATGAACATTACTTAATACTATGCTTACCGAATATAAAAATCATAGAGTGACATGGATTAAGGGACATAATAATATATGACCCCCCCCCCCTGTAAAATTTACTCTGAGATTTCCGTAGGAGAAATCCAACTCTAAAGCCAGCTCTCCCTGGGGGAAATCATACTCTACAGCCATTTATCGGGGGGGGGGGGTCCTACTTTAGAGCCCTTTTCCGGGGGGGGGGATTTTTGGGGAGGGGCTACTCGACAAGACCGGTGTTTTTATGTATTAAATGTTACAATAACAATATGCTAGCGGACATATGGATATTAAAAACATTTTAGATTTAAAAATTTACTGCTTAACAGATTGTTTCAAAAATGAAAGAACAACTTAAATATTAAGGTCAAGATCTAATAAATGAAAGTTGCCTGTAGATATGTCAAATTTAAGAAATAAGTTCCTTTAATATTGCTTTATTGCTTTAGCTTGGGCAAAAAAGTCTTTTGGGGCATAATTTCTAGGTAAATAAAGTGAAAAATTATATTTTAAACTGTTATTTCCAATGAGAAATTAAGTAAAACAGCCATGAATATGGGAGGTTTTTTTTCCATATCGGATAAAGAAAATGTATCCAGGTTGCCTACAGCCTTTCAGAAGACGGTAATTTGTATGTTCTTGGCCTCTTCTTTATAATAATGTCAAATTTAACTTTTCATGCGATTTCAAATTGAATTCAACAGCCCACTTTTAGAAATTATATTTTGCAACACTGGACCTGTATTTACATAATCAGATAAATTTATTTTGGACTACTGTGTATGATTCTCAAATTTTTTTTTATATTTGTTTCGCAAATATTTCTCGATAAGGTTCTTAATTTAGAGATGTATCAGGAAATAGGACATAATTGAACGAAGATTAATTATATTACCTGTGTTAATTTGTTAGCAATTTCAATGTGTTCGAACAGGTATGCAACCACACATAAAGTAAATTTATCCAAGCCCACAAACAGACAAATGATAAAATGTAAACATCGTACCAGATCATATCCTATATTTTCTAAAAACACTACTGGGTATTTCCGTAAACTTCACGTTTCTTGTCTTAAAACTACTGCAGTTGCAATAATATTACATAATAGTTACACCAAGTGATCGAAAGCACCTTTTAACTGCTTGATAAAAAACGATAAAACAACGTTTAGTTTAAAATATTCCCTGCTTGAAAGATTGTTGCATCATTGAAAAATTAATATGATGGATCAAAATGCACATTAATATTTTAATAGCACACTTTTTCAAATTAAATGAGGGGCTTTGAAAATTCAAATAAAGTTAGCAAAAACAGTAAATGTTTTATGTATGTCGATACACTTTTCCCTAAAAAATTAAGGCCAGATATTCCTTTGGACTTCATGAGGATCATTAAAGTGCAATTACTAATTTTTTTTTAATTTATGGAAGGAGTTATTCAAAATAAATGACCAAAAGGAATATTCTAAAAATAACACTTATTTTTTGACAAAAGCAAATATACATATGAAAATAAAATAGTCTAAATCAAGTGACTTATTGTCAAACAAAGAGATACGTTTATTGGATTGAAAGTATCTAACCTGTTCTTCGTTCTTCGCAGAAAATCAGGACTTTTTCAAATCTTTTAAATTTTATTTGGGTTTTACTTAATAAGTTAAATCGGTCGTCAAATACAAAGAAAATAATTTGTAGGTTTCATTTTCAAAAAATGGGATGAAGGAGAGCGATAAGATAACTACAGGCGCAAATAATAATTAAGGTGAGTTGTTAATTTCACATTGATCTTCATCATGTGAACCAATGTAGTCGTTCTTTTAGTAAACGTTTAATTTACCTCTTTATTAAAGAAGATAAATGACATCTGGTCAAATTCTGCTTACAGGCCCTATAGAACTTCTCTTTGTCATATATTGTACTACTCCAGCACACTTGTTTTGAGAACCTTCACAAGAAGGTAAGAAATTAATTACTACGAATTTAATTTAAAAAAAAGAAAAAAATGACTATCATTTGTATAGATTTTCATGGACGCAAGTGCATTAAAAAAACAAAAAAATCCTCAAAGGTTAAACCATCAATACTCATGTAAGTTAAAGCTTGATAAAAAAAAAACATAAACAATTAATTCAGACAGTTGAAATTGACAAAACACAGCTTCCTACATTGTACTACACACTGAAATAAAGTGGTAAAATCAGTTAATTCTTACAATGCAGAGGGTTTATAAACCCCAGTGCTGATAAATTAGAACAACTAATTTGACGTATTCCTCTTTACAAGTTGTATTCAATTTTAAATATAAAAGTTTCCAGAACAAATATGGAATAAACTTATCTCAGTATGTCTCTAAAGAATAAAATATCTAATTTAAGTTTTTCAATTATTTATTGTAAATCACTATTTTTATTATCATTCCACAAATGAATTAAATTTGCATTTATAAATGTGTTAACGAAAATCTGGTACTTATATGAAAAAAATATACACGTAAGAAACTAGAAATTAGAGGTTGGTTAAAGATTTAACAAAGATATCGGCAAAACCTCAGTACATCCTGTGCCTCAACAAGTAATTCACCACAGGTTTACCTGCATATTTTTTCAGATAAATAGCTCCAAGTTTTAAGTATTTTTTATCTGCTTATTGTACAATCTGATATGCACCTTAAAAATGGGAGAGGTTATATGACGGGTGTAAAAAAACGGCTATATATCCTTTCCTGCAATATATTTTTATTACACAATTTTAATTTTTTCATTGGCCTTCCTGTAAAAAGACACCCTGTTAATCTAGCATATTGTTTTATTTAAAAATTATCTTTATTTCCGTAGTTGTTTTGCTTTTAATTCATTTCAATAAATTCACTCTGTAGTTTTTTTTTTTTAGATTGTGTTTATCTTAGTTTTTCTGCATGTATTGTTTAATTTTGTTGTTTTTATACTTTTGTTTATTTCTTTGTAATGTGTTTTATTTTCATGAATTGATTTTCTAAATAGTACAATCTTGGAAAGTACCAGCTTGAACTCGAAAGTATATAGACATAGGTCATGCAACAGAAAATATTGAACACTGAAATTAAAAGTCCCGAAAATCATTTAAAGAATTACCCACTATTTGCAAATTAAGGCATTAAGGAGCCTCTTTCTTTACAAATGAAATCTGGAATCTGAAATACTCAAATTACTCTCAAAAGTTAACTAAAACTATGCAATCTAGAAATAGAGTATTATAATATAGAGTACATGACCCTCCAAAAATATTAGAGAGGGATGTATAATGAAGAAGTTAGCATCTCCCGCCATGTCCTCCTTCTCATATTTGAACAAACAGAAAATCGGAAGATATTCAGTGTGCATTGCCAGCTATTTTGATTTACATGTAAAAAATCATATAGCGTTCGTCAGATGGATAGCTTGTAACTCGACAAGGTCATTGTATCCGTCATAGAACTTTGAAAATGAGGTTTATAACGAGATTGTTTAAATCTTGTTAATCAACTTGTTTGCCAGTACCTTGCATCGTTGCAGATTTATTTCCTTGAAAAAATAAACATACAATGTACTTGGCAAAAATAAAGAAATTACACGGTATCAGCTGTTTCCAATTTATAAATACGTAGTAATGTAAAAAAAAAAAACTAACAATTTGAAAAGTGTGTACATGTAATTCAAATAAATGTTTGGTTTGTTTTGAATGCGTGATTTTTGAAGTTCATGTTATAATAGTGAAAATATAACATGTTTCAGAAGAAAATCATAACGAAATGTCTAAATTATAAAACTGGAACTATAAAATTTCTGGATTTGTAAAACATGCATTTATGTGCATCCATTAATAGACTGCATGCTACATGGAATAACTTCATAAATATAACGTGTAAAAAGCATGTTTTATCTTTTTAGACGTAGATTCCAGCAGTCATATTCCAAGATGGCGTTGTGTGGGGACGTCTCGAAATTTTTCATCATCGGATCTGTTCTTCAAACACTTGCATTGGTTCTTCATATCATAGGACTTGCTTCACCTTACTGGGTTTATTTTGAAGACGTTGAAGATGACTTTAAGAGAAAGTCGAATGCAGGGTTGTGGCTAGCTTGCGATATTATTAGTGATGGCAGTCAACATATCAACACTTGTACCTACACCAGTAGTAGTGAATTAGGTAAAAAAAATAATTTTGGTTAACTGGTTTGTGATAATAACAAGATACCTCTTATGCTCTCTGCATTTTGTTTAGATTGGTTTAAGGCAGTTCAAGCTTTTGCCTGCCTAGGGTTGATCTTCCTGCTGTTCGGCATTGTTGCACTGGCAGTGAAACGTTGTATGGACAAGGCGTCGATTCTTTATCTGTCTGCTGGGTTAACATTTGCAGGAGGTAAATAAATTTTACAAATTTTCATATATCAAATAGAAGAAACAGTTATTTAAATAAAAAAGTCAAATTACAAATTGAAACTTAACCCAGTAAACGAACATACGATATTTTCTTCTAATTTCAGTACATTTCTTTCTTTCAGCGGTGTGTATTTTGATAACCATTGCTGTTTATGCCGCCAAGATTACTGACCTCGGTATAAGTGGTTACCTTCATTTTGCCTTTGCTTTTTGCATCATTGCGATGATTCTTGCAATACCTGCTGGGATTTTCATAATTATTGAAGCCTCAAAAAAATAAAGGAGTTTAAATTCATTTAAGCCTACTAAAACCAATTTGATGTTATTTCATTCAAAAAGGGAAAACTCGATCATCACGAATACGGTACATGTTTATCTGGTACCTGGATTTTTTTAATGTATTCGCTCACAGGTGACTTTATTATGTAATGAAAACGCATTATCCAAGACAGTAATAACTTTTCTAAGCCATGAAAATATTATACAGTACACAAGCCCTGTGCTTGTGTTAGTAATTAAGATTACTTATGGATTTTTTTTTTCAGAATAAAAAAAACACATTTTAAGTTTGTTTTCTTAAGGCAGATATTATCCACAATGGTCAGGTAATAACATTTTTGTCAGATAACTGTATTTACAACATTAACAGAAATTAGGGCTCATCCCCTACAACATTTTAGGTGTCGTCCTAAACGGCAAGTAGCATGCTGAGTCGATCACAGTCGTACTACCTACACATTAACATATCATTTGATATACAACTATTAACTTTAAATTGCCTATATGAAAACATTATGAAATCAACATAAACATAAGAACAGTCAACATAATATTTTTACTACCAACTTGAAAGTGACGATATGGGCATTTGATGAATGTGTGTGTTTGAAAAATATACAAACAGGTTGCCTTTTGCCATATTCTAGGGATAGGAACCTTCAAGATGACTGCTGTGCCTAACCCCCCCCCCCCCCCAAAAAAAAAGATATATATGAAAAGATATTTTTTTAAAAAGACTCATAAGTTGACATTAAAAAGATGTTTGAGTTTCTGATTGACAATATCTATGTGGTTTTTGGAGACCAGGTATTCCAACAATCTATTGGAAATCCCATGGGTACCAATTGCGCTCCGTTATAAGCAGACCTATTTTTATATTCATATGAGGCTGAATTTGTGCAAAACCTTCAACTCGAGATTTAGATATATCGACGACGTATTGTCAATTAACAATGGTAATTTCCATTCCTACGTCGAAACGATATACCCTGGTGAGCTTGAGATTAAAGATACCACCGAGTCTGACACATCTGTTTCATACTTGGATGTTTTACTTGAAAAAGACTTTAATGGTAATGTAACAACCAGTCTATTTGATAATCGCAATGACTTTAACTTTTCTATCGTCAACTTCCCTTACTTATGCACCAATATACCTTCATCAACTGCATACGGAGTGTATATATCTCAGTTGATTCGATATGCAAGAACATGCTCTACGTATGAACAATTTCTAAAACGAGGTAAATTATATATAATTATTGATAAGCATGTGGATGAAACAAGAATATCAGCAGTCTCGTTTAAAGTCATTATTTTGTAAGTTCTATGGTCGATACAATAACCTTGCCAGCAGATACAATTCATTATCGAGTTAAATGCTGACTGACGCTTTTTCATACTAATTGTTAGTTCATTATTTATACACTGAATTGACGACGGATTTTTCCGTTATTTCCCGATCATGACAAGGAGCACACGGCGGGTGTGACCGGTCAGTAGGGGATGCTCACTCCTCCATGGCACCTGACCCCACCTCTGACGTTTCGGAGGTCCTTATTTGCTCTTCTCCTATTTTGTATTATTTTATGGACTTTAATATTGAATACTGTTCGTTATCTCCTTATCCTCCATTCTTCTGTTTTAAAGAGCAAGAGCCATCTTATGCATAAAATGGCCCTGAACTTATATCAATTAATTAACATTCACCCTCTTTCCAATTTCATATATCAAAATAATGTCGAGACTTGATACTTTCATTTCCTATAATAAAATTTCGTTTTTGAGAATCCAGATATTAGAAAACAGGCTTGAGAAATTGCAGTGTTCTTGAAATTAGCAGAAAACATGCGTATTCGACTACCTTTAGCAAAGAATTAAAATATGAGCACAGCCCACGATCCAAAAAATAAAACATGTTTTTTGATCTCCAGAAACAGAACTTTCATTGTGTATTTGTATATTTTGGATCAGAAGTTGTGCTCTATATAAAATATTGAAAAAAAATGCTTCAACTTTAGGTCATTTTCAAAGGAAATTACAGGATATGAGGAAAATGACGCATTTTATGATGTCATAATGCATTGGCTAGATGGGAAATTACGTCACGATTAATAGATACGTGGTCACCAACACTCCAAGTGATAAATACTGCATTTGCAACCTAAACTGAGTGGTTTTGATTTTTCAGAAATTCTCAGGGCCAAATAAGGCCCAACGTGCCTTTGTATATATATTTGTAAAAAAAAAAAATTATGAAAATAATTAAACTTGCGTGTTCTATTATTAATTCCTGCAATGTAGCAACTAAAATGATTTTTTGGGTTATTTGATACCAAAACGTGTGAAATATTTGAAGCAAATCTCTTTCCATATCAAGAGGCTTCATTATTTTGAAATCACCTCAAATCATATATACCTTGATCCATGTGGCTCAACTTGAATGCTTAGAAATCATTTTTAAAAAAAAAAAGATTTAAAATGTTGTTTGAACATTTCTGCTTTTCATTCTTTCCCCTACCAAACTATAAAAGAAAGATGGTAAACGTATGAACAAAATAATATAAACAAAAAATGAATATAAACAAAGGTTCATTCTCTATAAGGCCATTTTCCGGCCTACGATAAAATCACTTTTAAATGTGATTTTATATAACTGTAATCATTCTAGTTCATGATTTTGATGTTTGTTTCTCAACACCGATCATCTAAGTCACGTGATTTAGAGATAAAAATGGCTGTCAGTTAAAGAAAAATTGAGGGTAGGTCTATTTAAATCAGGTTTTTATGCATGTTTCTGAATGTAAATGATCAGAAATTGTTTATTTATGTCGGAAATACATCAGACCTAAGTAATAAATTCGAAAAAAATTTTCAATTTAAGGTTCATGGTATTTTTATGACAAGAATTCCGATGCATCCACATTTTGCATATTTTGGACGTAAATCTTTACGAAATTCACACTGAATGGTGCTGAAAAAAGTTTGATTTGCAATTTATTGAAAAGTTTTATATCATATATAATGATATTATAGTTGTATATCATTTCTATAGATGTGGTACTTATTTTACGCATAAAATAACCATGTTAGAAATGAGGTTTCTAAATTTCTATTGAACTCTAAAAGTTATTTTCAAATGTTGAAAGCACTGAATGGATTTTGATTAAGATTAAGTAAAACTGAAGTAGTAATTAAGAAAAGAAATTCAACATTTGCAAAAAATAAAGAATTAACAGCATAAGTATATCAATGCAAGTACATGTTAACTAACCATATACATGTAAAAAATCAATACATATAACTCAGAGCGGTTGCAATAAAATAATATACATCTCTAAGTAAAATGAAATAACGTCGTAAAATGGCTTTGCTTTTATTTAATTACTCGTATTGCACGATATATTCAATTAAAAATGCCATCTAAACTTTACATGTATAAAAGTTGAGGCCCCCCCTTCCCCCATCCCCGTGGCTAACGGCACAACATGAAATGGAGCAGAATTTTAACAGTTCCTTCAACTATGTATATCAGAAGTTTTCGTATATACTAGTATGCGGACTTGAGAGTTCTACAACATCCCAGGTACAAAATGGACCCTTAGGGTTTGATGCTCCTTTCCCACTCTTGAAACCTGTAGGTTAAATTCAGTCTCTTTCCCAGTGCAGAGTCAAATACTTGTTTAGCACGGATAGTGACAGTTCCATACCTTTAGTCTTTAGCATTTAAAGTAAACGTCATCGGTCTTTTGGATATTATCTTCTTTTTTTTTTAAAAAAAAAAAGGTCCCGTCCCGCATTGGGCGTTGGTTATGAATGCGACTATGCATTTATAAACACTTGATTTTAAGTGGATGATTTCTTTATCCGGTTGAAAAATCCTTAAATGGGGTAAAGCAACATTCCATTATATCGATCACATATAACATTCAGGAATCTCTCTCCTTTTTACCAGTTTATTTTTAAGACAGAACTAATGTTATCGTAACTTACTAGTATATCGATGATATCAAAGAAGTGTGATAAATAGATTGAGTCCTCTCAATATTAAGACCCAGTTAACAAATATGGATCACATGATACTCGTACGGAAGTGTCCATATAAACATTATGTGTATACCCATAGGAAAAAATTCTTTAACACAAATGATAAATGCATGTTACCGCATCAACAAAGATTGCTTTCATCATTTCTAGAACATATACTGTACTCATAAGTAAAAACAAAGAATAGGCTATATGGAGTACTCATAACGAAATTCAAAGAAGTTGCATATAAAGATATACTAAACTATCATTATAAATATATAAAAGATAACTCATATTCACACCTTATATTCTATAAAAAGTCTTTATTTCATAATTCTTATCAGACATTTTCGAGGAAACGTCTCCACTTGTAATTTCATGACATCCAGTCTTCTCAGTCCTTTGATTTTTAGATTTTTAAGTAAAAAGTTCACATTTTTCCTAGTAAATATGCATGAATGATATAAATCTTAGTAAATCAACAGAAAATTGTACTCTAACTAAAAGTTTATAAAAAGAAACAATCTACATAAGCTGATATACTTCATTGTGAGTAGTTAGCTTTTTCGGCAAATATCGTAAAAATGAAGTGAAATTTTTTTATTTAGGTGTCATAACCACCTTTAACCAAATTCATAATTTGGTAGTCACTTTTTATGTTTATAAGAAATTTACATGCAAATTTTGGTGTTGGTTAAAGGTGGTTATGACATGCGTAGGAGTTATCTAACACAGCCACCCTCTTGAGTTTTCCCATTACTCTAATGCTAATACGGACCGATAGTACCTTACTTTGTGACCCTATATCATTAAAAATACTATTGTATCATTAACCAACCAATATTTATCATAAAATTGGAACATAAGCCTAGTGATTCATGCAATTTTTAAGGGAAAAAATACTATCTGAAAATTTGAAGTCATTGTAGGCCGCAAAACGGCCTTATAGAGAATGATCCTTTGCTTACAGGAATTGCATGTCTCCAAATTTTATTCTACTACAAGAGTTAATGGTCAAAATGTAAACGTCCTGTTTTGCATATTTCAACACTAGCTGACTCTCTGTATTGAGTTTTCACAATAATAAAAAACTTATTTAAGAATTTCAAGTCATGAAGTGTAACAGCAAGACATCGGGTGTTTTATCTACTTTTTAAAAACGGTATATAAGAGAGCTGACACCCTGCC